GCTCACGGGCAGGGGCAGTAGAAGAAAGCCAAACCCAAACCAACTATGTCACAGACCAAGGAACCTCCACAGTAAGGCTCACGGGTAAAGGGCAGCAAGAGGAAGGCCTCTACCCTTTAAGCTCATTGGTAAGACCAAGAAAAGAGAAAAGACACCACAGAACAGGCCCACGAGTAGGGGCAGCAAGAGGAAGGCCTCTACCCTTTAAGCTCACGGGTAAGGCCAAGAAAAGAGAAAAGTCACCACAAAACAGGCCTAAGAGTAGGGGCAGCAAAAAAAATATCATCATTATTTAAGTTTGAACCAACTGTTTCAACATAAAAGAATCACAAGAGAGAGCTCATGGCCAGGAGAAATGAGAAAAAAAAAAAAGTTAAGTCCAAACCAACCACAACACAAACTACAACAGTAAGGCTCACGGCCAAGGGCAGAGGGGAACAACAAGCCCCAAACCCAGCAAAGAACATCCAAACAGGACAAAATGAAACAACTAGGATGTTCACAGTTAAAGGCAGCAGACTAAAACCACTAAATAGGCTTCACGGCAAAAGGAAAGCCACCACATCAAGACTCACGATCAGGAACAGTGAAAGAAAGCCACCAAAGGTATTGCCATTACATAGCCTTTGATATACATAAGAGAGTGCTTGGACAAATTCTTATAGATCATTAGGACTAAAACCCTTTTCATTAGGGCTATCAAAAAAACTCGTTGTTCGCGAACAGCTCGTGTTCGACTCGTTAAGTAGCTCGTATTCGGGTCGTTCATTAAGTAAACGAGTCGAGCACGAACAAATTTTTAAAGCTCGAATTATAAACGAGTCAAACACAAACAGTTCTTTGTTCGGCTCGTTTTAGCTCGAAATAATATATATATATATATAATTGATGAGCAATATTTTTAAATAATTTGGTTGACTATAAAGTTTGTATATATTTGGTCTAGGTTCGAATCTTACACTTTATATCTATTTTTTTAAATTTAATTTTAACGAGTCAATTTCGAGCCGAACACAAACACGAATATTTAAATCGAGTCGAACACGAACACACTGTTCATGAGCCAATTTTGAACACGAGTGAACACGGAACACGAGTTATTTCGAACGAGCCGAACACGAGCCAAGCCTAAGCTCGCTTAAGCTTGGCTCGTTTACAGTCATACTTTTCATCACATGAGACATGCTTGTATCAAACATCCCCTCATAGAAGTAAATGTTGAAATCATGAATTTTGGGATGACAAACTTGATTACCAATAAAAATCTTGGGAGGAACGTTAAAGAAGAACCTCCAACCAAACCGAGCCCAGCAAAGGGGTCAAACCGAGCCCAGCAAAGGGCTAAAACAGTAAAGGATTTCAGCCAAAACATACCAGACCTAGCTCACCAAAGAGTCAAACCAAGCTCAACACAAGGGACAAACCAAGTCCAGCACAGGGGTAAAACCGAGCCCAACACAAGAGGGCAAACCAAGTCCAGCATAAAAGGCAACAAAAAGAATTATAATGGATAAATAGAGCTCAGCAAAAGGAATATATCAAGCCAATCTTATGCAAAACCGGGCCCAATTCTCAGACCAAACCAAGCCTACCAAATGGGTCAAAAATAGTATGAAACTCTCAGCTAAATCCAAATCAGAAGAGGCCAAAACCGAACCCACTAAATGGGTCAAAATGAAATACAATTTCCAGCTATCATGAAGCCAAAACCGAAACAGAGTAACATTTCCAGCATGTGTTCATCCTAAAAGAGTCAAAACCGAACTCATCACATGGGCAAACTGAGCCCAGCATAAGGGCAAAAAAACGATAAAACGATTTCCAGCAAGGATCCAACTCCAAAGAGCTAAAACCATACCCTAACAGATGGGTCAAAACAGCTAAAAATATTTTCCCTTGGAGCCTCATATTTCAAAGTATTGTGTCAGCATATATTTCAAATAGGAACAAATAACAGGAAACATATAAGTATGCATGAATCTTTAGAGCCAACATGTCATCCAGCTTTGAAATGAATTCCAACATTTTGAATTCCAACATTTAATGAATTCCAACATTTAATTGAATAAAGCTAACAATAATAGAGAGCCTTAGAATCAAGACCCAAACCGTCATTTCATTTAATATATATTTCAAATAGGCAACTATCATCTCATGGCAAGCACAAAAATATTCCAAAATTCTATCCGTCACACATTTTTTAGCAGAAAAAAAGAAAAATATCTATATCATGTTTCATTTTAATGATTCTAGCAAGTATCCATTTTTAACTCTAAAAAAAAGGCTCAACTTTATTTCCACATGCTTTAGAAGAGAAAAGAAGTATTTTCAGATGCCATCTGAAATATCAATTAAGGCAAAACAAAGTCTCATGCATGCATTCCCTATTTTATCATTTCCAACATGTGTCGAGCAGGGCAACAGAACAAAGAAGAGAAGGAATAAGTACCTTGTTTGAGATTTCTTAAAAGAAAATTACAGAAAAATGAGATCAAGCTTCCAAACGCCTAGCACACAAGGTCCCAACCGAAAGATAACTTCAACAGAGCCTCTTTTCCTAAAAGCTTCTAGAAACAGCAACCAACGTATACTTCAAATTCACAGCACACAATAATCTAGTCAAGAAGGAATTTCGACAGTGCCTCTCCTCATAAAAGCCTCGAACAGCAAGAACCTCAGCCTCTCATTCTCTCAGAAAATTTTCTACAACCCAAAACAATACACTAAGAAGATTTTTTATAGTCAGAGAAGAGAGAGGAACAGTCATCTACCAGCTTCACTGGTAGTCGAATCAAATGACAAGGAAAGAATCGCCACAGTAAAGAAGACGATAAAACCTCGAGAAGAAGAAGGGTCGGCCAGCTCGGCCCTTGCGATTAGAGAGCCAAAAGGTCGAGCGGCCTCGCGAAGAAGAGGAAGAGTCGAGAGAGGGGGAAGAGATTGTCGCGTGGATCGTCCACGGGAGCTAGAGCAGACGAGCCAAGCGTTCGACTAAGCCGCGGGGTCGAAAGAAGGATTAAGTGTGCGGGAATAGATAAAATAGGGTTTAGGATTATAATTAAGATTATAAATAATGATATAAATATATAAGTATTTAATGTTTTAAAAATTAAAATTTGATTTGTACATTTTATTTGTGCGTCAGATTGTAGAAAATTGAATGCCCTTTTTAGGTAATTTGGGCGTTCCGGATGCGCTGGCATGGTCTGTTTCACCGTTGGAAGTTGTTTTTTATAAATTCATCGATTTGCGTGTAGTTTGCTTGTATGCGGAATTATGGCAATATGGGTGTCTATTCATGCTAAAATTGGTGCCCAGACGCGTTGGGGCAGTCCATTTTGCGTCGGAGATCGTCCGGAGAAGTTCGTATTTTCACCCATCTTTTAAGTTCAATTTTAGTCTGATCTTGTGCAACTTAGTGAATTTTGTGAATTTTGTGTATTTTGTGTGTGTGTGTGATAATAAAGTCTTGAAGAGGTTTTCCTAAAGCTTGAGATCCTATTGGGAACATCTCCTTGAGCCTCCACATGATAGTCCTTTATCACTCGACCATAGGATGATGGTTTTGAGATCATCAATGTGAGACATCACAAAAGAAATATGAAGTGGCTGGAATTTCTAAAGGGGATGGATTCCAATACTAGTTTTCTAAGATAGTCATTAGGAACCCCTAGAGTTAGATCCTAGGATCCTAAGGAAAAGAGTAATGACCTCAAAATAAGGTCAACACCATGTAGGATGAGCGGAGTGGTAGCAATCAAAGCAAGAGAAAATGCATTTCCCTATGGTCATGACCACCATCGACCACCATGATGCCACGTTGCAAGGGTAGACAGGTTAGAATCAATAGATAAATTTAAAAGCTAAGTGACCCGAAGAAACCAAGTAAGAGCATGTGTAACTTCAATAATGAAGGAATCAATCATCATCTAAGATTTGTATTTATTGGGACGACAGATGAATTCCATAGAGGAATTTGACAACAAAAAACTTCTCAGTTTACTTTTGCCCAATGATCAAATCAATATTTGTTGAAGATTAAAAGTTTATGGCCTAAAAAATGTAAAAATGAGAAATATTATCTTTTTAAAAATAAGATGAATAAAAAATTCTGCATCTTTCTAGCAATGTTTTAGAACATGACAATCAAGCTAATAGATGGCTAAAAATTATTTAGTAACCAAGTGAGGATATCATCTCAAAGCTTGCGATTTAAAGAATTTATCATCATTAGTCGAAGAAGACAAAAATGTTTATTCAGAAAGGATAAAAAACCCTTAAACACAAAAGATAATTAGTACCACTCTATTTAGTGGTAGTACCAATGATGGAGAATGATTTTACATCATTAAGAATAGAAAGACAATCAATTGATTTCCTATCATGATTGATGATAATCAGTTTCATTCCCTTGAACATAAATAATCATTAATAACATTTCATAATACTTTTTATTATGAAATTGATTGGTTGGTTTCACCCTTTCAAACTCAAAACCTTGTTCAAGAATTCTCAAAGCAAATTTAAGGATATGTGGTTCAACTTTTTTACCCAACCGAATTGAACTTGCTTTGTCGTAGCATTTTACTATGACAAAACAAGTAAAAAGGTAAATACTAAATGTGTGCTACAACCATTAAATATAGAACCTTTCCTTGTTTCCCATAAATAGTCAAGAAGTTCCTACAAAAATTTTGATGATAGAAGTGACAATTGGTAAAAATCATATTGCACACTCAACATGCCATCACAAAGCAAAGAGAAATAATAGAGAATACGAATATTTAAAGATCAACACTAAACACTTGTGAACGATTAGTAAGAAAAACATGAATAATGGATATTATTTGTTGTCTATTTCCTAACGCATCAATATTCCATAATATAAGGCCTTATCTTAAATTTCTTCTTTTGAGTAGTATCTAATAAAATAATTATGTTTCAAATTCTAACAAAAAGATATGAAAAACTTGCAAGAAGCTATAGTTTTCAAAACTTACTTAAAAGCAGTACTACAATAAAAAGCAGAGCTCCAGCACACGAGTACAGAACAACAATCTTGACTTGGTATGGGTACACGGGGAACAAGCACATTGCTAGAGCCACCAGTGGCCAAAGAAATGAAAGAATTGTCTGCCATAGAGCTCTTCTTCTTATGAACGTCCAGGCAAAAAAACCATCCTCTTTGGAGAAAACTTGCTCCTGCAGTAGAAAAAGGTAGCATTAGGCTTGGATATGATGCAATGTGATTTAAAGTTAAGAGTATCCTAATGCAATTAATATGATGCTTAATATGATGTCATGCAAACAAATAAAATATTCATATACTACAAACCATCAATTAATCAACTTACTTTTTAAAATGTAAAGATGCAATAATTGAGACAAAAACCAACTCCTGATGAAAAGTCAACAAAAAAAATGAAAATACATAGAATGAATGCATAAATTAAAATTAATTTCCATAACTTAAATTTTCGATGCGCCACTTTTCAATCAAAATCAAAGGCATTAAACAAGCGAAATAAATTTATGTTAAAAAAAATAAAATTAGGAAGAAAAATACCAAAATATAAATAATAAAGACCTCACAACAATATAAGGAGATGACTTCCCCGAATTCGATGGCCACACTTGTGCCAGTGCCACACGATTGAATCACACATTTAATTTGAACACATAGATTGAAACTAGAAGGACCTTGAACTTAAGCCAAAAAGTCAATATCTCTACCAATCATAGCCTTTCTATTTATAAACTAATTGAAACTTCTCCGGAATCCCTCCTGGGTCCAATTTCAATTGCACAATTTTTGTAAACAAGCATTAGCAGAATGGTCCCGCAACCAAATTACAAAGGCAAAGTTGTTACAGCAATTAAACACAGCTGAAAAGCAGAGATATTAATGATATATTAGCCAAGCACAAGATCAGTTCTACGCTTGACCGTGAACAGCAGCAGCTATTTGTGTGATCAGTGAAGTCAATTGAAATTTTGCAATATTTGAAAATATCCTGAGAGCAACGCTAGGGCATATATAACTTAATTTATCACAAAAAAGTAAACCAACATTTGGATATATCCTGAGAAGTAACATGTGAACTAACGTTTGCATTAATACATCAAAACACTAAATTCTGAAGTCCACCACGCCTCATAAATACATGATGCAAGAAATACCACCGGAAGCCGGACCAGCCAGCTACATGCGTCCCACCGCCCGATCCACCTTCCGGTCGCAGGTTTACCTAGATCAACGCCACACCAACTCCCTTCCCTGTTCCCTGCTGTCACTCCCAAACCCCTTGTCTGCTGCTATCACAAGACCCCAGACGCACGCACCTGCGCCTCCTTCCTGCTACACCAACCACAGCCATTTTCCTTCATGTTATAACCACAAGTCATCTTCCCTCTTCCAACTTTACCCCACCTGCCCCATCTCCAATCACCGCCATCCACCAGCTGTCCCACTTCACCATAGACGGAGAGTCACGTTGTGTTGCATTTATTTTCGTGCTTTGAGTCTTGATTGAAACCATGATGTTTTTTAGTAATAAAAACTTGCGTTCCTATCAGATTTTGAGTTACTGAAACAGAATAACTCGAAAAGGCAAGTCTACGAAAGAACCTATAACAAAAATACCAAATCACATAACTCAAACCAAAGTTGCTGAGATTATTTATTCCTTCAGCATTTCCAAATATATAAACATGAGATCTCCATAAGATACAGACTTGTAATAAAGAATAGCAATTGTTTCATTGGACAAGATAACTCGTTAAAAAATGGCATTATATATCCAATATCCTTCAAAATAGAACATAGGATGATATGAAATAAACATCCAATACCTAAGAAAAGCATTCATGAATGTATGTAATACAATGAAAAATATATGACGGGTGGTAAATGAAAATTTCTCAAATATCAATAGGACACATTAAAAATATATAACTTAATACGGAAGTAAATTAAGCCCTACACATTAGGACAGTTCTTTTATCAAAGGCACGAAGTCAAACCAGGAATCATTTGAAAAAAATGTAACATGCAGAACACCAAAACAGATACTTCGGAAAAACCTGTTACGCCCATGCCCGTAACATGCCTAGTGTAACAAGACCGGCACATCCTGGACCGGTCAAATACCCGGGAATAGACCTGGCTTGCCGGTCAGCATCGCAAGAAAAGGACGGGCAACAATCTACCGCGGTTAAAGAAGCCAAGGTTGGAGGGAAAGTCCATAGGAAAGTTTTGAATTGCTGTGGGAGGATTTTATTAAAGGGAGAACCTAGGATTTATCTTTTTTATGCATAATTTTTGTGCTTTTGTGTTCATTCTTCTTCTTGTGGTGTTCCTAGCAACGTCTAGGGTTGTAGGAGAACTGATCTGCCTCTCGAATAGTAGATCACCCTTATATCTTGCTTGTTTTCCTTTATTTTTCATAAGAGCAACCCTCGTTTGATTTTTACACCTATCTATTTCTGTTCCACCATCATTTCCTCTTTGATTTTGGTCTTGAGGCTTATCAAAATGGTATCAGAGCTTACATCTTGGTGAGAAGGCAGCAAAGAAAGTGGACGTATTAAAAGGAGAGGTAGGGCAAATTAGATCGAAAATAGAAGAGAGATTCGCCATCATGGAGGAGAGATTTTCTTCCATTGAAAGTCAAACAGAGGATGGACTCGAGAGCATAGGGAAATGCGGGAGATGATGAAAAACACAGAGATGCAATATAACGTTGTGCCAAGCACTCCAGTCACAAACCCTAACAAAAGGTTGATCAAGGAATCCTTGTCCAGATCAAAAAAGGAGATCGAACGAGAAGACAAGGAGGAAGACATAGTCTACCAACATGAGCATTGCCCTAGGACTCTGCAAGGAGGGAAAGTGGAGACTTCCGATGGAGTGGGATGGGCCGAAGATTGGAGAAGGGATGGGGTAAGGGGTATGGAAGAGTACGATAGAGGAAGAAGGGAATCGAGAATTGGGCATGCCTATGACCGGAGGAGAGAGTTCTACACTAGATATATGGGAGGAAAAACTGGAGGAAGAGAAGGCAAGGTGGAGATGCAAGATTCAGAAAGCTGAAGATGCCAACTTCGAAGAGTAGGATGCACATAGGTGGATGCATAGGGTGGAGTGATACTTTGCAATCAATGGGTTAACTGAGGAAGAGAAGCTCATGGCATCGACATTATGCTTGGAGGGAAAGGCTTTAACGTGGTTTCAGTGGATGGAGACAAGGTATATGATGCACTCGTAGGAGAAGTTTATGGATTGCTTGTTGAAACGTTTACAAGTCATTCGGGGAGGAGACCTACACGAGCAATTCTATACTCTGACTCATGAGGTGACGGTTACAGAATATTGGGAGAAGTTCGAGCTCTTGTCAAGAAGACTGAGAGTAATTTCTATAGCAGAACTAGAAGGAAACTTCTTGAAAGTCCCAAAGCCCAACATACAAGTTGTCATCTGTCCCTTGAAACCGTAGGAATTGAGGGAAATCATGGAGCACGCCCAAATGATGGAGGATAAGGAACAGTTGAAAAGGAACAGCAAAGACAGCAATACCGGAGGATTCTACAAAAGCACCTTGACAGCCACAACATTAAGGACCCAGACTGTGTCATTTCTGAAAGAAACATCGAAGGAGAAAAATGTCAGGGCCCAGGCCCGTACTTGGGGTAATTTCAAGTGTCTCATAGATGTAGAAATGCAGGATAAAAGATCAAAAGAATTACGTTATCGTTGTGATGAGAAATACGCCCCAAGACACCATTGTAAGAGCACGCCCTTTAGATTCTTTTAGTGTAGGAAGAGGATAAAAAGAGTGAGGAATCATACGAGTATGCGGTGGAGGAGAAGCATCTGCATTTAGATGTGGCGGGGGTGTCCCTCAATTCGGTGGTGGGATTACCCCAAATCACATCATGAAGGTAAGGGGGTGGATTGGGGAATAGCCAATTGTGGTGTCGGTAAATAGTGGGGTCACATATAACTTCATCTCAAATTAGGTCGTGGAGAAGCAAGGGTTGAAGCTGGTGACTAAAGGGAGCTTTGGTGTGATGATGGGGACAGGGAAGGTGGAGAAAAATCGAGGAATTTGCAAGGGATTTATTCTGAAACTCCACGGCCTATAAGTAGTGGAGGACTACCTTCCCTTAGATTTGGGCAGTATAAATGTAATTTTAAGGATGAAGTTGTTGCGAAAGGTTGGGGAGACGAAGGTGGATTGAAGATCCCTGACGATGGAGTTCCCGGTGAAAGGTAGGACAGTGTCAGTTTATGCAAAACTATGGTGTCACTCAAAACTATGGTCAAGTCGATTCGAAGAGCAAGGTTATGAAACTTGGAGTTACAATTCAAGATTCATAGTTAGTAGAGTTTCCTAAAGGAGTCCAGCAGCTCTTACAGCAGTTTACAGATGTCTTACAACAGCCGAGTAGGTTACCTACCCCAAGGGAGCACGAGCACACTATTACCTTTAAGGATGGCATTTCCCTCGTCAACGTCAGACTATACAGGTACCCTCATATTCAGAAAGATGAGATAGATAAGCTGATTCGAGAGATGCTCGAGGTCGGGATCACCAGGCCTATGTGAGCCCTTCTTTCAGTCCAGTCCTGTTAGTGAAAAAAAATGATAGTTATAGATTCTCTGTGGACTACCAAGCATTGAACAAAGCAACGATATGGGACAAGTTTTCTATTCCTGTGATTGATGAGTTACTGGATGAGATTTAAGAGGCAGTCATTTTCTCAAAAAATGATCTTAAGTCGGGATACCTACCACCAGATCAGGATGACTCCAGTGGATTTGAGCAAGACAGCGTTCAGGACACATGAAGGGCGGGGCATTATGTGTACTTAGTGATGTCGTTTGGACTCACCAAGGCCCTGACGACAATTCAGTCCCTCATGAATAAGATTTTTCAACCTTACCTCAAGAAATTTGTCCTATTTTTCTTTGATATATTCTGGTCTACAGCCATACAGAGGAAAATCATGTGGGTCACCTAAGAACAGTCTTAAAGACCTTCAGAAAACGCCAATTGTATGCCAACTTGAAAAAAAGTCCTTTTGCACAGTTGCAGGTGGAGTACCTAGGGCATGTGGTGACTAGAACAGAGGAAGCAGTAGATTAGTCCAAGATCGAGACTATGGTTGATTGACTCTTACCAAGGAGTTAAGAGGATTCCTGGGTTTCATCGGCTACTACTGAAAGTTCGTGAGAAGATATGACATAATAGCATGGTCACTGACGGAGCAGTTGAAGAAAAACAATTTCAAAAGGGGGGAAACAACACACAAGCATGTGAACATCTGAAGAGGACCATGAGTAATGTACCAGTATTAGCATTTCTAGATTTCAGTAAACCATTTGTGGTGAAGACGGATGCATCAGAGAACGGATTGTGAGCAGTGCTCATGCAAGATCAACAATCGATTGTCTACTTTAGCCAGTTTCTGACGGCCATGGCAAGGCTATAATCAGTATATGAATGGGAATTGATGACAATTGTCTTGGTCATTCAGAAGTGGCGGCCCTACCTATTTGGACGACACTTTTTTGTCTGGAGAGATCAGAGGAATTTAAAGTACCTCCTAGAGCAATGGATGGTGACTGAGGAGCATCAGAGATGGCTATCCAGGCTACTAGGGTATGATTTTGAGATTCAATATCAGCCCAGATTAGAGAACAAGACAGCTGACGCACTATCGAGAAAGCTGTAGGAATCCCAATTGACGGACCTAGCAGTACCCTTGGTCCTAGATTGGGAAGCTTTGAGAGGTAGGAGAGCAAAGGGGATGAGGAGTTGAGGACAAGGGCAGAGACACTACAGAATCAAACAGTCATCCGGAATATGCATTGAGATGACAGCAGCTACTCCACCAGGGGCAATTTGTGCTACTCAAGTCGGAGTAATTCCGAGATTATTACAATAGTTTCATGGCAGTGCGATCGGGGGACACTCAAGGGTGCAGAAGACCTGCAGTCAATTGGTAGCAAAGTTTTATTGGGTGGGAATACACAAAGACGTCGAGTATATGGTGACAAAATGCAATGTAAGTCAGCACCACAATAACTTGACTACGACACCAACAGGTTTAATATAGCCACATTTTTTGGGAAGGTTGGAGAAGAAGTGACAATGAATTTTATATTGGGGTTGCCATGGTCAGAAGAGTCACAGCGATCATGTCGGTCATGGATCACCTAAGTATATGCACATTTCATTTCTTTACGACATCCCTACACTGTTGTATCAGTCGCGGCAGTGTTTAACGAGAGGTGGTTCATTTGCACGGAGGTGGTCAACGGGAGTGTGGAGACAGACCTGCGTTTTTTTGTATCTGATACGTTGAAACAATAGACCAAGTGAATTGTATCCAAATATTGGTATAATATTTCGTATCACATTGCAACACAGACCACCCCTTTCAAAATTCATGGACGGGATTTACCTCATTTGATACATTATAGGCATGCTACACCGGTATCCAACATCGATCAATATTTGGCGAGGAAGAGAATATTGGCAGAGCTAAAAGGGCATTTATTGAGAGTTCAACAAATCATGAAGAGGAAAGCGTATGAACACATGAGAGTAGTGCAGTTTGAACCAAAATATATGGTCTACTTGAAGCTGAGACCGTACTGATAGAAGCCGTGGGCCAGGAGAAGCGAGAAACTTTTACCGCGATACTTTGGACCATATGAGTGATGCCTCGCATCGGGGCTGTGGCTTATCGTTTTAAATTACCAAAATCATTTGCACTACACCAAGTTTTCCATGTGTCACATTTGAGACGTACAATTGGAAAACATACACCTTGTCTACACTACCGCCAACACTGACAGAGGAATCGGAGAAGATTCTGGAGCCGCTACAGATCAAAGAAGAGAGCCAAGAAATAGGGAGAGCAAAAGAGGTATTGGTCAAGTGGAAAGGACTGTCAAGCTATGAACATGAGAGACTTTTAAGGTGATCCACAAGCAATTTTCATCCTTCCATCATGAGGACAATGTACTTCTTTTGGGAGGGGAGGATTGTTGCACTCATGCCCGTAACAAGACTGGTCCATCCTGGACCAATCAAATGCCCCCCAACCAGCTTGTCTGGCTGGTCTGGGTCGCGAGAAAAGGTCGAACGACAATCTATCGCGGCTAAAGAACGCAGGGAGTAGCAACTTGTCGAGGTTGAAGAAGGCAGAGAGCAAGAGGTGTACACAAGGGCCTTAATCACATACTCAATGAGATGAAATTAGAAGAGTTTGGAGAGAAAGTTGGAAGAAAAGTTTTGAATTAGTGTGAGAGGATTCTATTAAAGGGATTAACCTAGGATTTGTCTTTTTATGCACATTTTTTGGGTTGTTGTGTTCTTTCTTCTTCTTGTGGTGTTCCTGGCGACATCTAGGGTTGTAGGCGAGCCGATCTACCTCTCGAATAGTAGATCACCATTCTATCTTGCTTGTTTTTCTTTATTTTTTGTAAGAGCAGCCCTCGTTTGATTTTAACCTATCTATTTCTGCTCCGCCGTCATTTGCTCGCTGATTTTGGTCCCGAGGCATATCCCCAACCTCCAAAATTTGATCTTAACAACTCATTTCATGCCACAGAAGGCAAATATTCTTCAAAATTTACCACAAGTTCCAGTGTGCACTCAAAGAATAATTCAGAAACGAGCACGAAAGCATGTGTCAACTTCTGCCCCTATGTAATTGGCTAATAAAAACTTGAAAAAGATGGTGTAAATTTAAAACAAAAGTAAATATGATGAAAAACCATGTTTCAAATAATAGAAAAAATAGCTTAAGTTCAAGCATATTTAGTACATTAAAATCAAAATAAACTTACATTATGTATTAGCAGATGCACAGGCCATGAGGACAACTTCTTCTTTCCGGGCCTTAAAGTTTTAACTAAACGATCACATCTTACTATAAGGTTCTTTCCAAGTAAAGCATTGATGATTTCCTCTGCATCTAAATCTTTTTCTTGTCCTAATAGTTCTTTAACCTCCAGATGATCTCTCAAGAAAACCGGGAAATCCTTTCCTCTAAAATACTCTACCCTTGTTTCTTGCATTATTGCCCATTTAGATTTTAGTTGTTTGTTGTCTCTGACCTTCTCAGCAAAAATCTGGTATACGTCCTTTTTGGAGGCAGGTTGCTGCAAATGTCATGCATAAAAATTAAATTAGAAAAAAAAATGTGTGTAGAAGTATTTTACAATCACATAGCATACTTGGAGAGTTGAAGTGGACCTTTTTTGGACCCATCTTTCAGAAAAAATGAGTTCCTCAAAAGAGCTAGAAATCAAAAAAATAATAATTAAAATAAAAGAGAATTTACATACCTAGCACACAACTCTTATATGTGTACATATCTCACACCTGAATTTTCATATTTACATACATAGCACTTTGGTGGTATAAAGCTCCGCATGAAAAGGTGTATTTCAAATTTAAAAAGTGGTAATAGCACTTTTGTTGATGTGATATTAAACATTTAATTGTTATGTGTGTAAACATAAAGTCTAGGAATGAGATACATAAACATAAGAATTGAGCGCTATGTATGGAAATGCCCCAAAAAAAAAAGATGAAAGGGATGATTCCGCATATGGTGATTTAAAATGTTGTGCTCCACTAGATAAAGATACGGGCATTACAAATTAATTTGTTCTATTGCAGCAGGAAGTTTCAAGTTGCTTAATTCCCTCCATGTGAATAATAAAATATTATATTCTCTCTCGCAATGCTATGGTTTGTTATACAAGCATGCATACATCCAACTTCAAAGTAGCCATATAGATTCCAAATACAGCATTGTTTGGCACCAGCTTTCAGATGTTGTTTCATTGCTAAGCCCCAACTCCTATCAATAATGTCTCAGCCATAATCGGAGTGCAGTTTGCACACATTTTGCACAAAGTCTAATACCAGTAGCATTGAGGGAAACCTATTTAACTGCTTTTAAAAGATGCCATAAGACTTTCAAAAGATTTGCAATCTGGTGAATCTATAGAATCATGCATAAAAGATGCAAAAATATTTAAGCAATCTGGTAACATAAAAACCTGTCAAGTGATTAAACAACATTAGAAGCTACAGAATCCACTAAAATTGCTACAAGGTATGCAACTTCGATGAATGTAAACATGATAATTATATTGGTTAAAGAGCAAACCACACTTGAGAGTAATAGTGATACATTACAACACATGCATCAAAAATATTTTTTATATCATTTTTAAAGTATTTAAAATTAGTAATATCTTCTTTTAGAATTAGATGCTAGAAATTTAAAACTTCTCCATATTTAAATTTTAAATTGGTTTTAATTTATAGTATAACTCTATTTATATAAATATGAATTGCAATGCTTGAAATTGAATTATCCAAATATGAAAGACCCTCTTTTCCATCCAAGTTTTCCTATTCTCTCCTCTCTCCTCTCTCCTCTCTCCTCTCTCCTCTCCTCTCTCCTCTCTCCTCGCCCCATGATTTATCTCACTTACAAAGTTACCATAATTCAAATTCAAAAATCCAAGAAAACAAAATACCCACAAAAAAAAAAAAAACTTCTTTCACTCTCACCTCACAGGATTCCACTAATTCCAAGATCCCTCTGGTATCATTTTCCCTAGTGGAATAAACCACAATTCTGCACACTCCACTTTCCCAAAATCATAATCCTATAATCCGTCTCTCCAGATTCCCTCGGTTTGTTCAAGTTTAACATATTCTTTTCCAGCATATCTCAATAAAAGAAATCAAGGGTAAGGCAATTTAAAAGAGGTAAAAAAAGCATAAAAAAGGGATCATCATCAAGGCCATCATCGATTGACATAATGATTCAAATTATTCCAAGTTTAAATAGGTTAAATTAATACCAAAAAGAAACATGATGCATAAAGTGACATAAACTCATAGTTCAAACTTCGTGATAAACTGAGATGTGTCTTATAAGTATTCCATGACGAGAATAATACCATGGTGACTTTGAGGTTAAGTTTTAAGAAAATGGTATAGAATGGCTGCTATGTCATAAAAAGAAGAATGCAAGAAACCTGCATTAATAATGTAAAAAAGTGTGCAATAAAACAATGAAAGTTAAGAGTGAAAAATAATTATATTAGAGGGACGTTGAAAATAACACCAATTAAAGATAAAAAGAGCAAAATTGATACCGTGGTTAACTTAAATCACAATAGAAAAAAGCAAAAAGATGTTACAATCAGAGACACTGAAATAGAAAATAGGTACAAGCACGACACTAGCTCCAACTAGGACTGGATCGAAGGGTGGTGGGGTTGGTCTGCAAAGGTCGGGAAGGTATCCGAGTTGTGGAAAAGGGTCGTTTGTGTTGACCTCATTTTTTATGAGGTCTAGTTTTCCTCTTAGGGTTTAGGATCTCGCTTTGACTATCTTAGAACCTTAGAAATGGGACCCGCCTCGTTTTAGAAATTCAACTCACTTCTGTACTCTTTTGTGATTTCGCATGTGTGGTATTGACTTCTAGCACTTAGAATGATGAAACCAACATGAGGAAACCCAAAAAGGATTCCTATAGGACCTTTTGAGCCTTAGGGTGGCCTTTTACACAATTCGCACTCCCGCGCACAAAACTTCGCAATTCGGAGAATCGACACATCTGATCGCCACAATTCACATCGCTTGCACTGTTACCTGTCGAAGACTCGAATAATTTTTTTTGAAACAATCGATCGCGGGTCAAAATTTTGTGAAATTTGAATTTTGACGCGTTTTTGACCCGATTGTCGACGACGTCGTCCGAGATAAAACAGACTACACCGGCGCGTCCGGAACGTCGATTTTGCCGAAGGAGGACACCTATTTTGTTACGACGCCGCGCGTGAATAAATCGCATATAATTTAATATATATATATATATATATTAATTTATATAAAACCAATTGGCCTTTCTCTTTCTCGGTCTCGAGCCAACCGAGCTCCCCCTCCTCCATGCAAGAGAGAGTTGACTTCTCATTCGTCCTTGCCCGACACTTTCTGCTCGCGCCCCTCCCGCGGACCCTCCTCTCGAAGCCGTGCCAGTCTCCCCGAGCTGTGGTTTTCCTTTTCTTGGTAGTTTGACTCTGGGAAGCTTTCTCCATGGT